AAACAACAACACCACCACTCAGGGAGAAATTAAACCATGGAGGTGTAAGACCTGTACATTGAAAGCTATAAGACACTGATAAAAGAAATCAAAAATGACACAAATAAATGAAAAGATCTTCTGTGCTCACCAGCTCTAAGTATTAGTACTCTGAAAATGTCCACACTATGCAAAGCAATCTAGAGATTGTAAGGCAATCCTTATCAAAATTCCAAAAGGTGGAAGAAACAATCCTAAACTGTGTATGGACCCACAAAAGACCCTGAAAAACTAAAGCCATCTTGAGAAAGGAGAACACAGCTCAAGCATCACCCTCTTTGACTTCAAACTATATTACAAAATTACAATAATTAAAGCAACATGGTGCTGGCATTAAAAGAAACACACAGATCAATGAAACAGAACAGAGGGCCCAGAAGTAAAGTCACACATATACGGTCAATTAATTTATGACAAAGGAGCCAAGAGTATGCAATGGAGAAAAGACGGTCTCTTCAACAAATGGTGTTGGGGAAACTGGACAGACACGTGCAAAACAATGAAACTGAACTCCTATCTTACAGCAGACCCAAAAGTTAGGGTAAAATGGATTAAAGACTTGACCCTGAAAGACCTAAACACATAAAATTCCTGGAAGAAAACATAGGGGGTAAGATCCCTGACACTGGTCATGGCCATACTTGTTTTGAACATGACACCAAAAGCAAAGACGTCAAAAGCAAAAATAAACAGGTGGGACTGCATCAAACTAAAAATGGGCAAAGGACCCGAACAGACATTTCTCAAAAGAAAACGTGCAGATGGCCAACAGATAGATGAAAAGGTGCTCAACATCGCTAATCATTGGGGAAATGCAAATCAAAACCACAAGGAGGTATCGCCTCACAATGGCTATTAGCAAAAAGACAAAACATGGCAGGTGTTGGTGAGGATCTGGAGGAGAGGGAACCCCTGGGCGTTGTTGGTGGGAAAGTAGATCAGTGCAGACTCTATGGAAAACAGTATGGAGGTTCCTCAAAAAAGTAAAAGGATACCTACCCTATGATCCTGCAATTCCACTTCTGGGTATTCATCTGAAGGAAATAAAACCGCTAACTTGAAAACCTATCTGCTCCCCCCAGCAGCATTATTTACAACAGCCACGGCATGGAAGCAACTGAGGTGTCCATCGATGGGTGAATGAATAAAAAAAATGTGTATACATACAAAGGAACATAATAGCCATAAAAAGGAAGGAAATCCTGCCATCTGACAATATGGGATGGACCTTGAGAGCATTATGCTGAGTGCTACAAGTCAGAAAGGGAAAGAGACATATCGTACGACCTCAGTTGTGTATGGAATCTTACAAAAACCAAACTTCTAGATACAGAGAACAGATGGATGGTGCCAGAGGTGATGGGAAAGGTGTAGGTGAGCGGGGATAAACTTCTGGTTACAAAATAAGTAAGTCCTGGGGATATAATACACAGCATGGTGACTGAAGTTAACAATACTGTATCATATACTTGAAAGCTAAGAGAATAGATCTTGAAAGTTCTGAACACCAGAAAACATTTTGGAACCGTGTGAGCTGACGGATGTTAAGTATAACACAGTTACTGTTAATAACAACTTATAATACATACATAGGTCAAATCATCATGTCTTCACCTAAAACAAATACAATGTTATATGCCAATGATAGCTCAATACAACTGGAAAAAATGTACATCAGCATTGCCATGAGTGCTTGTGTAAAATGATTTTTAAATGCAGCTGTAGTATCAGGTAATGGTTTCAGTTTAGAATCAGGTCTTGCTCCTTCTGGGCACGTGATGCTTGGACAAATGACGTTGGCTCTCTGAGCCTCAGTTTTCTTGACTGCAAAATGGGATGATAATAGTGATGCCCACTGTGCCCAGTGCTTAAAAAGATTAAGCGAGGGGAAGAATATAAAGCACGTAGCACACACCAGGCGCTGTTTCTCCCTGTTCTAAAAATCACTCCTGGTGGGAAATTCCTATCTTATCATTCATATCTCTGAACCCTTTACAGCATGTGCTTTTTATTTCGTTCCAAAGTCAATGGACACAGTTTTGCTTTCTTACCTTCTTTCTCCCCTTTCTACAAAGTATTCTGTTCTGGAAACAGGAGATTATCTCCTGCCCAAGTGTTACCTTCCTTAGCCAGGCTCTTCTCCAGGGACGCATAGTGTTTTCTTTAACTAAACATTAACTTGGTGAGGGAGAAAACAAGTCTATTTCTGCATCAACTGAGCCGTTTTTCAGATTCCATCATTTTTTTTTTTTTTAATGTTGGAAATGCTTCACTAATTAACTGGGGCTTCAAGCGACCGCCTGTCTTCTCCTTGACAGCCCAAGTCACGGAAAGGAGACAAACACAGAGTAGGTCCTACCTGGAGTCTGCCCTGTGGCAGTCTGAGCTGACACAGAATGACCAAGTTTGGGTATACATATTTAAAATATCTCTTCCATCTCCCCCTCCTTTTGTGAAAGATGGCTGTTTGCATTTGGCCCAAGGCCTGTTACAGCTTTTCTGGAGGCAGCCAGACTTGGAACATTCAAGAACACAGACGTAGGAACTGCATAAAAAGGAGGAGCTCTCCCACCCTCGTCGGAGTGAACCGCTTGCCGTCTGACAGCAAACCTTTTGGGAAACAGCCAGCCTTGTCACCGTGCTTGAAGGCTTTTCAGGGTAACGGATGTGATGGTTGCAAGGGGGTTGAGCGAAATGCCTGGCAGGTGCCCACTTCATGGCTCTACTTACTTCTTGCCATTCCTCTGCCCTCCAGGCATAGAGAGGACACGGTGCGGCTTGGCAGGCGCGTTCTGACTCTGGTCTGGTGTAGGGGTTGCACTCAGTCTCTCTGGCTGTTTTGTGTGTTCCCGTCTGACAGCTCACACTTCTCCGCCGTGTGCCTTGGCCGCAGGACACAGAGCACTAAGAAGAAAGACTGTGTAAGTGGGAGCTTTGGGTCATTTGGTGGGGAGGGTGTGTGTGTGTGTGTGTGTGTGTGTGTGTGTGGCAGGAGTGGCGAGGGTCACAGTCATGGGGAATGCGCTCCTAATCCAATGACTTTCCCTGCGATTACAAAGCTTTCTAATTTCCAATGAAGGGGACCCAAGATAATGTACTTAAATCTGCAAACTCACTGCCTGTCGATGCCGGTGAGCGAGCAAAGTATCTCTACCTTTCTTGGGGAATCTCTGAAGATACCAAAAGTCTTGGAGATGGGAGAGGTTGGGAGAGATCGTTATGAAACGATACGATCGAGAAATAAATAGTGCTGCCATGTGAAATGAAAATCCCCAATGATTACTATCCCGGAGGATTGCAGTTTCTTGAAAATTGGAGATAAGTGCCGTACAAGAAGAATTTCTTGGCAGATTAAAAGCATAACCCAACGAGAGTAAATTACTGAAGCTTTTAGGGCCTTATAAGCAGAATTATTTTCTCCAGTCTTTTTCTTTCCTTGCTCTTATTCCTGGAGATAGAGGAAAGAAGAATTTTTTTTAAACTACTGAATTCACTAAAGTGTTAGTGTCTATTTACAACCTCAAATGAATACACGAAGAATAAAAACTGACAAGGAAAACCATTTCTTCAGGCGGGCGTCATGTTTCCAGCCCCTGAAAAATACTGTGAATCAGGCTGAAGCATTTTGTTGACCAAGTTGCAAAACGCCATATTAAATCTGCAATTAACTTTCCTTTAAATTAACTTTTTAATGGTTTCCTCATTGCTGGGTTTCATAATCTCACTTATGGGCAGGCCAAGAATTATTGTCTTTATTAAGGTTTTGACAGTTAAAAACCAAAGGCAACATTTGCTTGGAAAGAACAGCATATTACTGCGTTTATTTAAAATCGTTCCTGAGTTTTTGCGATAGCTCAGCCTCCGCTAATTTGTCTGGCATTGAGAAAACAAGTTTAGCATACATTAAAGCCGTATTTCTAAGAGGAAGTCTTAAAGAATAGAATCATGATCCTTTCAATTAGAAAGGTATTCGTGCCCAATCATTTCATATTTTAAGAAAATAGTTGGTGCTCTTCAGAGGGCAGCTCAGGAAATCATATCATTTCAGATGAGTCTATGCCAGGGAGGGGCTCAAATGTTCACATCAAAGCTAGCTAAAGAGAAGGAAATATTTTGAGGCAACACAGCTGCTATTGTTTGGGTTTAATTGTATTAATTGGATTGAATGAGTCTGTGACCCAGAAGGAACCAGACTTTTAAAGTCATTGTGTCCTGGGTGGAATAGGAGGGCCCCTGAAGACAAGTAATGCTCTTGTCTACAGAGAATGACCCTTTAAGGCTCACGGGAGCTACACGTATGTTTCCCATTGATTACCCTGGAAATGAAGGAACTGTAACTTGGGAGTGTCATCCCATGAATGACAGAAATGTTCCAACGGCGTCATCATTGACAACAAACAATGACGACTACAAACCCTGCCGCCATTTGAATTTGGGGTCTTAAATATAAAAGAGTACGTTTCCAGAACAGTGTATCGAAATGGAAATACAGAGAAAGACTAAGAACCATTAGGTAAACAAATTTGAACATGGCATAGGGCTGATATATATTCAAAGCCTCCTAACGTTTTAATAACCTAAAGAAAAAGGAAAAAAAAAAAAACCATGAAAGACTTTCAGAGTGTCTCCTATTCAAGCTCTAAATAAATGAAACCTCTTTTTGATGCTATTGTTATTGAGTAAATTACTTATGGTTCAACGAAGGTAAGGTATTAAGAGCCATAAGTATCCAAAACTAAAAAAAATCACTTCCTCCAGCGTTGCATACTTTTTCAAAAGGCAAAGACACAGGAAAGTTCAATTATATAACATGCCGTCGTGGCTTCTGATGTTTATAATGTCAAAGCCAGGTGTGAAGTAAAAAATAAAAGTTTTGACACGACTTAAAGGCATGTGCGGGATGAGCTCTGCCTTTCCGAATCCTGCATCTAGGGTCATCTTTATTCTGAATGTAATAGGCTGCATCCGAGTGAACTCTCTGGGTTGTACTTTTCTGCCCGCACTGTGTCTCGAGGGAGGCAATAAGTTGCATACACAGCCAGTCAGGCTTGCTCGGAGAGTTCTGAGCGATGTGTATGGAAACCTCGTGAATAAAGCAGCAACCGAAAGACCTCTGCGTGACCCTGGAGGTGGTGAGGGCTGTGCCGTGTGCACATGTGTGTGCTTAATGCTTCTGGTTCCATTTGGAACAGGCTTTCGTTAGTTTGTAAAAGAAAAAGGTCGGGCAGTCTCTGCTAATGTGCTCCCTCTGCCATCATTCCGGCACAGGATGCGCAGGTCTGAAAGGAGGTGTTTTTCGTTCCGAACTACTGAGCCGGGAGCTATGTTTCATCTGTCTGCTCTCGGTACTGGGCATTGCTAGCTGGTGTGCAGGCCTCACCAACTTGACCGGGGGCCTTGACACTTATTTCCACGGATCAAAAGAATCTTTGTGCACCCTCTGGTGTGTGGGGAATCCTATATACTTGAAAACTGGAAAGTGTTTACACACTTTCTTCCAGAATTACTGCTGAAATTATGGTGGTGATGTTATTTAGAGGAGGGACTAGCTTGAAAAAGAACTCTCGGAACCAACTTTAATACATAAGAACAGTCCCAATGATAATAGCCACCTTTTACCAAGCACTTACTATGTTCCTGGCTCTGTACTAGGGTTTTTCAACCTAATAATTCTTTCTTGCTGGGAGCTGTTTCATCCACTGTAGGAAGTGTGACAGCATCTGTGGACTCTAACCATTAGATGCCAGGTGTATTCCCCGCCCTCCACCAAGTTGTGACAACCAACGTTGTCTCTAGAAATTGCCTAATGTCCCAAAGGACAAAATCACCCCCTAGTTGAGGGCTTAGCTCCATGCCGAGCATGGCACACGACATATCTTTGTACTTCCTAATAAACCTTTTAGGGAGATCGTGCACAAATACGGCAAGGAACAGAGATAATCACTCCAACTCCAGCAAAAACAAAACCCAAAAGCAGCCAAAGTGAATTCTGCCCTAGGCAATGTACCATGGTCACTGTGGATTAGAATTTGGCTTCCAGTTTTAAAATATGGTGCTAATATGATGCAGTCTTCCGTACTACGTCAGCAAGAGTGTGGGTGAGAAGCCTGTGTTCAAACAAATCAACATCAGTGCTCACAGTTCAAATACAAACAAAACAATGGAGAGCTCGAAGCACGAAAGCGACCCTTTCTCATCACCGACTCTGTGCACATGGTTTCCTTGATTTCTCAAAGGACACGAGCTACACGTTTGCCATGTTTCTGCATTAAATACTTGCAAAATACTTCAGAATCAAACACCAAAACCAACCTGCTCTCACTGGAATCACAAGGAAAGTCCTCACCAAAAATGGCTGGTGGATTCACAAGGCAACTTGCCAGTTTCCATTTTGGCATGAACGGTGGAGAGCTTTTAAAAATTAGTTATTTTCCCTTAACCTAAGGCACCGCTGATTGCAAGACAAAGCATAATGTTTTGTATCGCTACAAAAAAGGTCTATTTTAATTAAATCATGGCATTCTGTCGGCTGTTAGGCCCATTCTGAGAACAGAGAGGTTAAGGTATGAGAGGCATATGCATCTCAGGACTGATGAATGACTCCACTGCGTGGATTCATGACTGATGAGTGACGATAAAGTGTTACTTTTACTCTAATCTGCTCATTTAATCTTTTTGTTTCTGACCTTCATTTTTTCTGAAAGCCTTTCTAGAAGAATAGGATAGATTAAATGATTTTTACTCAGGAATGCTTCTATTTCATGGGATTACCGAGCCTTCACATTTCTCAAACTGAATCAAGAATTCGAGGCTGATTTTTGTCTTAAAATTTCATGTGCATCCCTTACCTCTTGATCAAAAGCATCTACACAAATTGAACATGAGCTTCTAAAAATGCTTTACAGTTTTAGTGAGGATGTTTTCCTTTTTTTAAAATATATAATTTATTGTCCAGTTGGTCTCCGTTCAACACCCAGTGCCCATCCCAACAGGTGCCCTCCTCAATGCCCATCACCCACCCTCCCCTCCCCCCACCCCCCATCAGCCCTCAGTTTGTTCTTATTGGATGTCTTCCAGTAAAAGCTCTCCTTTTACTGGAAAAATTTCCTTGACAAATTCAAGATTTTCAAAAGATGGAGAAATTAAACATTCCCCTTTAAATCTCAAAGCACCAATTTTGAGGGCGAGACTATGAAGATAAACACAGCATACCCATTGCCAACCCCAACATTCTACACGTCTTGTCATCATCAGACATTTCAACATGATGAGAAGTTGCCCTCATTCTTCTTCCTACCTTCAACAAGAGATGACTAGGATATAGCTACCGGCAGAAAACAGAAGAACCAGATATAAAATCTTCCAACCATTGTTGCAAATGGGTAATCATTACTCTCGCTTCGGTATCCCTGCCTTAGGGACATTTCTGTTTACCATTGGATCATTAGTAAGCCAATAGTCTTTAACCACGCAGACCGTCTTTCTCCATCAACCACTGCGTCTGATTATTTTCAGCTACACTTCGAAACTGCACAAGTCAGATTTTACTCATGCAGCACCTTGTCCTGCCCGCTTTTATAATTCAGTTCTACAGATCAAATCAGGGCATTTCAAAGCTGGCCACAGACCATTACATAACTGTGTTTACTTGCATTTTTCTACAAAGGTGACTAGACTTTTCTAAGCAATCATTTTGAACAGGTGCAGTCTTTTCTGGGGAGGCAGTCTGATAATCCTATTACATTATGTTCAAAAAACCCCACAGGGTTCAAACCTAATCATCCCAGCTTTGTAAGCAATTTTGGACTTCCCCAAAAGACCACAGAATGCTGGGCTAAAACTCACTCTGTGTTTACCAGTAGAGAGTGAAAGATTCTTTTAATTGTCTCTATGTCAAATACATAGCCCTATAAAATGAGCATCATCTCCATGCTCTAAACTTAATATTCAGGGCATGATGCAAATAGATAAGTAGAGGCCAAGCAACATAAAGAAAAGCAACAGAGCATGAAAGTCTACAAGAGGACAAGCTAATTAGTGCAATATCTTAAATAATGTTAGCTGCAGGCTTTTACATGAATTGAATAGCTCCCCAAATAAAAGGGCTGGAAGTTACAGAGGACAGCAGTCACTCAGGCAAACCGTTAAGGAAGACCAATATGAAACGCTGCCTTGAAATCTGATCCTGTAGGGAAGCCAGAGGGGAAACTAGCTCTGGTTGGGCACCGATGCTTGGATTGTTGAATTAAAATACAAACACAAACACAAACACACGCGATCATTCCGATAAAGGCCTCGAGAAGGATGAGGCTACTCTTCTAGGGAATGATGCAGGTCATGTTTTACATTTCTGTGAAGTGGCTATGGTGGGGGGAGGGCGTGCATGTGGGGCAATGATGACAGCTCAGAGCCTTTAGGAAAAATTCACATTGCTAGAGGAACTTTCTGTTAGTCACATCGAAATGGAGGGTTCCCAACTCCTCCCCATGTTAACACAACTGTCCAAAGCTTCTTTGAGGCTTTAGGGAATCAAGATCAAGGCTCTGAAAGAACCAAATCTAGAGGGTGCCAACCTGGAACCTACTTTTCTATTGATTCCTAAGGGCAGCTGTGTGATTCTCCACTGCACAGGAGAACCACAAAGTCAGTAAAACCTCACTGAGGCACATCAGTGGAGGGGAAGAGCAACATTATATACAGAATATATGAAACTGCACCTTATTATTTTTTTTAAGTTTATTTATTTATTTTGAGAGAGAGAGAGAGAGAGAGAGAGAGAGAGACAGAGACAGAAACAGAGAGAAAGAATCCCAAGCAGGCTCCACACTGTCAGCGAGGAGCCCAACGTGGGGCTCGAACTCATGAACCGTGAGATCATGACCTGAGCTGAAGTCAGACATTTAACCGACTGAGCCACCCAGGCTCCCCTGCACCTTATTACTATTAGGTAAGTACCTTCAACCGAGCTGAGAAAATGTTGAAATACAGAGTAAAGAGATCAGCTTCAAGGATTACGTGTGAGAGACTTTAGCTCACACAATTATTTATAGATAAATAGAAGCTTCTGGAGTTCTTTGTTGAATCCAACAGGGAAACTCTCTCACCCAGCTGCTGGCTAGATTATCAAATGTTTAGAATTAGCGGAGTCTGACTGCAATCAGTTTCTTGGGTGTTTACCCCTTCCCCATCTGATGCACGCATCACATTCATCCACACAAAATACTACTCTTGAGAGCCTCTTAGATTTAAGACCTCTGAACTAAGTACTTGGCATTCATTATTGCATTAAATCCTCATAGGAGCTAAATGTAGTAGGCTCAGGAAGGTGAAAACAGATCACCCAAGGTCACATAGCTAGCAAATGCGAGAGAACTTCTGTCTCCCACTTCTGCTGTATCTAAGAACATTCGCTATAATACCTCACAATGACAGCCCTTTCTTTAAGAACCTCAAAGGTAAATTCAGACCCAGTCCCTGCGAGGTGACCAGAGTCAACCTTACTGCCATCTGAGTTAGTGTTTTTTTAAGTGGTGAGTGATGATAAAAATGCCATCAGCGAAGTATTAAAGGGCTACTCCGTGCTAGATGTCTGACATCAATATCTACTACTACTTAGAATTAATTCTCACAACCATCCTACTGTAGGTGTTACCCAAGGCCCCGAGGGTGGAATCCACTCGGCCAGGTAACAACTATCCTGATGGAAAGAGTCGTCCCTCCCCGTCCCCAAGCTCCCCTCTGAAAAACCAAACCTGTACAGACAAACACAACCAACACGCCGGTGTCAGCCACGTGGCCCAAGGTAAGGAAGCAGTCGTAGAGGAGAAGCATTGCTCACCTGACTCCAGGCGCCAGCTTTCCATTTGGGGCATCTTCCTCCTCTGCACTTTCTGTGCCCACTTGGCTTAGCAAGGTGTTTACAGTAATCACTCTCTAAATGGTTTCCATCTTTTGCCATGCAGTAAACATTTCGTTGTTTATGCCCTCGACCACAAGAGACAGAACACTGAAATATAAAGCAATGGCAAGGTTGTTGTTGTGTTTTTTTTTTTTTTTAAATCACATGGAGTTTGATAAAAACCCGTGTCGTGAGACGTTAAGATCATACCTGACAAGAGTCACCATCTCCCCCCTTTTCCAACACCATTTAAGGTAATATCTCAACGCTCTACACGGCAAGAAGATAGCATTCGGGGAAAAAAAATGTCCGTAGTATTTCAGCAGCAATCCTGCCTAGTATTTTGGGTTCTTCAAGAGTGCGGGTAAATCCTGACAATTTTGGCCAAAAAATAAAGCCAATGAACCTGAAATTACCATGACATCCTGAGTTTGTAAAAAATCTTCCTATGAATTAGAAAGGATGCCTTTCGCACAACTCACTTTATGCAGGATCAGGATACTTCTTCAACCAAATGCCTTGCGATTCACTGATTTGGATAAACGTGCATTTCCAAAATACAACTGTGTCCAATTTCCTAATGAAACGATTTAAGGAAACTCTCCTACCATTTTTCAGAGGATAAACTCTCATTTTCCCAGTCCGTTGGGAAGGAGGTGAAAAAGCCACATTAGAAACCGAAAGGTAAGCTGGCAGGTAAGTCTGTGCCAATTCTGGGAGGGGGGCATTACCTTTCAACTTTGATCTGCAAGTTCACTGAACTGTTTTAAATGTGACCTTGTCTGACCACATCTAAGGAACTTGACTTTGATTTCAGATTAGGTTTCTCAGAAAGGTCTAGGAATCAAAGCGCCCATGGAGTCAGGACAAAAATTTGATATGACAGCTTCTTGTGGAACAGGCAAGAGGCTGGCCCCAATGAGTGCACTGAGATATTCAACATCCATTGCCTCATTAGCGATTACAGAAGTCATTACCACTTGGATCATAAGCTTGCTGGCTCAGATTTTCAAGACACATTACTTCCCAATATAATGTTCTTGACTTTTAGAGGGAAATGAGTTTAAGAATGAAGAACAAAATGTGAAACTGCAATGGGAATAGATTTCGTGTCATCGCCCCCTATTCAATAGTTCTTATTGCCCTCACTAACTTACTGATTTTGTTAACTTAAATTACCAAAGTGCCCTTTCATGCCTAATAGATAAATAGCATCACGTAAAACACGTAGCCTAGTATTAATTCAACTGCTGTTACCAAGCATGTCCAAAGTTATATCATTCATAAATGTGCCAGACCTCTTTCTCTAGTAAACACAAATCATTGTAAAGATTTCAATAGTAGCGAATAGATTATTTTGAAATATGTATATTAATAGGTTTGGCCCTGACTTTTTACTTTAGGAAAGGGAAACATTGCTGGTTTCGTTTGGGCTTCATCTTATGACACTATTAGGATTTGGAGAGGTCATTCTGGAAATCTTAACAGAGCATACAGTGAGGAAGAAAGGAGCCCAATTTGAATATTCAGATCAAAACAAAAATACCCATCTTTCAACCTATGGTGCTTTGACATATATAAAGACTTGGGACATAATTCTAGAAGGTTTTTAAAATGAAGCTCCTAGAAATATTCCTACAAACCACCGGTCTAATGTCTTGCATACGGAATAATCTCTATTGTTAGTGACTAATTTTGGTCCTTAGAAACTTTCCTTGGACGAATAAATAACAAAGGGGCACAAGTGGAATTTGGGATGAGTTCCTCTGTGTTTATTCAACAAACATGTGAGCAACTACTAAGTTTCAAAAATTATGCGAAGGGCTGGAAATATAGTGATGAACGAAGTTGACTACTCCCCGCCCGCACGGAGCTTACAGGCCAGTGTTAATCAAAACACTGCAATGTTGACAAAAAACAAATGCATGCTTATTAACAGAAATGAGTGCTCTGAAGGACACAGGCTGCCATGGGTGCAAGAGGGCTCCTGAGGCTTCCCCCAGGGCCAGACCGTGCAGAGCTCATAGGTCGTCATAATGCATTTGGATTTGGAAAAATCACAGAAGAGTTTTAAATCAGGGCAAAACACGGTCTGATTTTTGCTTCAGAAATTCTACCCTGGCTACTGAGAGGACAATGGATGGGCATACAGCATGAAGGGAAATAGTAAAACTGCTCAGGAAGAGTTAGTGCACTGGTCCAGGCAAGTGGTGATGGTGATACTAAATAGGGTGCAGAGCTATTGGGGTGGGGGAAGTTGGTGGACTTATGACCTATTTTTTTTAAGGTAGAAATGACAGTTTGTGGTTGGTGGATCAGCCATGGGGTGCAGGGCAGAAGGCAGACTCAGGAGGGACTCCTAGGTTTGCAGTATGGGCAACCGGACAGTGATGACGTTTACAGGGATGGGAAAACAGCCCCGGGCGTCAAGGATGTATTTATCTGTAGGAAAAAGACTGAACTTGAAAGATACAGATTCCTGAGTGGGAAAATGTGCTTAATGAAGAAAGAGGCATAATGGTGATGAACATGGATGAACTTAAAACAAATCCACCTATAGGGATAATCATTTCAACATACAAATCATTGATAGCAAGCTGTCCTTTACTATGAAGCGGGGGGGGGGGGGGAGTTGATGAAAATGCTAATTCAGTAATCTGCATGGCATCGGAGGGACAGTCTAAAAGTAGACAGCAACCTACAGAGGCAGAATGAGAAAAGGCACAATATTCTGGCATTCAGTTATGTGCCACCCACTGCTCTAAGACCGAGCGTGCAACGTCTCAATCATCCTAACAACCATTGAGATAGGTACTGTTATTGGAGATAACTAGTGTTTCCAACCTGGTGTAAGTAACCACAAAGCTTTCTAGATACCTCTCCCCACATGATTGCAACACAGATGGACAGACGTCTGTTGAGGGCAATGCCAACACAAGGGAAACAGTTAAATTATCACGAACATCACTGATACTAATTCATCTGAGGGGCACTACTGGTGTGACCCATGCCTATTGCCCTTCAAATGAAAGGGAACAAAGGAGTTCCCAAATACGATGCCTTAAACATCCTGTTAACATCTAGATTAGCTACATCCCACCCATTCCTACGTGCGTTTTTCTTATCTGGGGATTTGAATGGAACCGACTTGGAAAAAAAGAATGCAATAGTTCAGCATGACTCACATATTATTTGCCTAAAATGAAGATCTAAAAGTGATAAGGACATTCTCGAGGTAACTAATCAGAAAAAAAAAAAAAAAAAACACTTTTCATCTCATGCTTTCTAACTTACCAGTGAAGAAAAGAAGCTGCTTATGGAAATTTTCATATCTAACAGGTTCATGAGTGGGTCTATTATGATTTCTCTAAAGAAGCTGTCATTTTGATAATCAAATAAACAAACGTTTCAGCTCTTCTACTCTGAGGGAAATTTCCATCTGATCATTTCCAGTCCTTTTCCAGACGCTGACTTTTGAGTCGATGTGCATCACTGAGATTTAAGAGTAAAGTTCAGCGCATCACCTACTATGTGCTATCTGTGGGCTACATGTCTCAGGGTTCTTGCTCTGGGGAATGTTTAAGTCCTTAAATGGGCAGTGGATATAGCCTCCTAAATTGCCAGTTGGAGTCCCACATTTGCTCCTCTGGAGAAACAACCGAACATGTTTACGAGCATGCTTTCTCCCCAGCTTTGCACAACACTCCCAAACAATGGTATAGTCTCTCCTTGTGACTTAGAAACGTCAAGGTCAGGTGTGCCTGGGTGGCTCAGTCAATTGAGTGACTTCGGCTCAGGTCATGATCTCGTATTTCGTGAGTTTGAGCCCCTTGTGGGGCTCTGTGCTGACAGCTTGGAGCCTGGAACCTACTTCAGATTTTGTGTCTCCCTCTCTCTCTGCCCCTCCCTGCTCACAGTCTGTCTCTCTTTCTCTCAAAAATAAATCAAAACATTTAAAAAATTAAAAAAAAAAAAAAAGAAAGAAACATCAAGGTCAGTATCCAAAATGCCTGGGCTTTGAGGCTTTTGTTTCTGTGAGGCCATTCAAAGGGGATGTTTAACGTGAAGCTTTGTTCAGCTCTTGCCTTAACACGGTCTACTCGCCTAACGTCTTAAGAGTTTGACATCCTTGCATTTCAACTCATCTGGCTGGAAACAATGTACTCAAGGCATGGGCAGTCTGCTCATCATCTCTCCTCTGGGCTTGTCCTCTCTCAGTGGTAGCCCTGGTTATGGTGCCAGTTAGGGTCCGGCGTGCTACCGCTGGCATTCGCGATGCCCTGCTTCTGCCCTTTCACTTTTGTAGACGTGTGTGGTCTCTCAGACATCAAGGAGCCAGCAAACAACCCCAGTGTGTCTGCCAGGATGAGAAGGGCTGAGGACCTAGAGAGAGGGAGATTCCTGCGTCGCCAAGGCAGCTGTGAACCTGAACATGTGTGCAAAGACAGAGGAGAGCGCGGAATTGGTAAGGCCACCGTAAGGAACTAAGAAGGAATAAGAAGTGGAGGCTGGAGGTCAGAGAATCTGGCCAGATGGAAGTTTCTCGATGGGGCTGGGAGATGCCGGGGCTTAGAGGAAGCACCAGCGGGGCCAAGGTATAGACCTGGACCGCCTGGTTATAGCAGATGCTCACTACACAGGGGTTAATGGATGGTCTAGGAGAACAGCTGGCAGAATTCTGGCACTGCTCTGTATATCTAGGTGATTTCCACCTCCAAGGGATCTAGCAAACACGAGAAACATGTTTATTACTTTCTTCAGAACACCTTTAGGACCCTGGGAAGAAAGACACTTATGCTGCAAATACACAGTCACATAAACGGAAACATTCTGTTTATGTGTAATGTGTGATGGAGGATACTGATCAGCTAGCCCATATTTCCAACCACGGGCCTGGCTGCCAGCAGGTAAGGAAGAGCTCGGAGGCCGAGAGGAAGGACAGAGACTGCAAGCCATGACCAAGTGAAGTCATGCTTCTCCTGATGGAAGGACTTTTGCCAATCAGGGAGCGAACCATCCCTCTGAGACCGACGAACAGAGCTCAGTTTGGGGGCAGGACCCTGAACTAATCATGATGTGCCTTTCCCTTGTGCATCCCTAAAATGTGA